GCTAAGGCTCTCATCCAGCTGCTGTCAGCCGCCTTGCGCTGATCGTCAAGCACTCCATCTAGCCATGTGGCGACCCACACTGCGCTTAAATAAACGCTGTCTCCACTCTATGACACGTCTTCTTCAACGGTTATCGCTTCTGCGACAGATGTGACTAGCTCATTGCCACTTCAGCTTGCAAGTACGGATGGCTATCTAAGTGAGCTTGGTACTACAGTGAATTTGAATCATATCCACTAGAGAAACTCCGAGCATAGCTCTTTCTATAGCTCCCTGGGCAGCTAGCTTTGAGTTTGTGGTAGTCGTACCGTTAGTGTCCATGTTTCGGCACCATATACAGTACTTGTTTAGCATTGCGTGAGTTGGTTGGGATGGGTAATAATGAAATAATGGAAGCAATTTTTATTGACTCACTTTAATAAATCTATAAAAAAATCTATGAAAAATGAAAATTAAATCTAAACATGTAATAAATCTTAATAATTTTTAATATATAAAAATACTATGAAAGCGTGTTTATGAGTGTTTGAATTAAATGAAATAGATATTCCGAAAGAAGAAGAAAGAGGAAGGGAGATAAGTATAGATGAAATGATGAAAGCAACAAAAAGTATTAAAGCAGGCAAGGCAGCCGGATATGATAGAGAATCTCACGAAATGCTAAGGGCTGGAGAGGGAGTGGTGGCAGGCCTGCTGTACACTTTATTTAATTAATGTTGCGGATTAAAGCGGGTACCGGGATACTGGTGCAAATCCGTGATTGTTCCAATATATAAGGGAAAGGGGTCACAGTAGGACTGTAACAGCCTTCTTAGAATATTAATTGAACGAGTCATGAAAGAAAATGATGGAAAAAATTGGAATGTGCAAGCTGGATTTAGAAAAGGAATGGGGTGGAAGGATCAAGTTTTTTTCCATGTTCAGGATCGCGGAGAAGTTTTTGACCAAAAACGAAAAAGTTTTTGGTGCGTTCATGGACTTGGAAATGGTTTATGACAGAGTGAACAGGATTGTGTTATAGCAAATACTGAACTAATTTCAGTTAAGCGCTGCGTTGATACAGACATTAAAGTCTCTTTATAGGGACTCAAGTGCTTGTGTCAGGATTAACGGGGCCTACTCGTACTGGTTTGGCATGCATTGAGGTGTTAGACAGGGCTTTATGGCTTTCCTGTGGCTTTCCAACCTATTTGTGTATAGTTGTTTGGAAACTTTGAAAGTTGAAGAATGTGGGTTACGAATGAATGATTTAACCGTCAAATGCCTTTTACACGCAGACGATTATTAAGTCATATTTGCATCATCGGCGGCCGAGTTGTAAATGATGGTTATATTAATGAACAGGTCATTGAAAGAAAGGGTAATGAAAGTGAACGTAAGTAACACGAAAGTGATGGTTTTTGAAAGATAAGAAAGTAAAACGATATGTGAAATAAGAATAGAATGGAAGTTTTTTGAGCAAGTAGATGAGATTGTGTATTTGGGATGTGTATTTAGCAAGGATGGTAGATATGATAGGGATGTAGGAACGATGAGTGAATGCAAGAAATAGAATAAACGGGGTTTTACACTATAATGTAGAAAGTCAGAATGTGTCAAAAAGGCACGTATGACAATTCACAATGCCGTATTGATCCTAATATACTTTAGTTCTAGTTGGGTTTGTACGAGAGTAGAATTAAATGCTGTAGAAATCCGGTCATTAAGGAGTATGTTAGAGCTGTGTCTGAATGACAGGGTGAAAAATTTTGCGATAAGAGAAAAGTGTGGTTTGCAAGATGATGTTGTGGTCAGGATTAAGGAAGAAATGCTTCGGTGGTTTGGTCAGGTAGAAAAAATAAACGAGAAAAGATTGACATAGTTTAGTTTGTGTGTGTGTGTGTGTGTGTGTGTGTGTGTGTGTGTGTGTGTGTGTGAGAGTGCGTGCGTGCGTGCGTGCGTGCGTGCGTGTGTGCGTGCGTGCGTGCGTGCGTGCGTGAGTGCGTGCGTGCGTGCGTGCGTGCGTGCGTGCGTGCGTGCGTGCGTGCGTGCGTGCGTGCGTGCGTGCGTGCGTGCGTGCGTGCGTGCGTGCGTGCGTGCGTGCGTGCGAGCGTGCGTGCGTGCGTGCGTGCGTGCGTGCGTGCGTGCGTGCGTGCGTGCGTGCGTGCGTGCGTGCGTGCGTGCGTGCGTGCGTGCGTGCGTGCGTGCGTGCGTGCGTGCGTGCGTGCGTGCGTGCGTGCGTGCGTGCGTGCGTGCGTGCGTGCGTGCGTGCGTGCGTGCGTGCGTGCGTGCGTGCGTGCGTGCGTGTGTGTGTGTGTGTGTGTATATTATGTACTAATTTTCTGACAAAAAGAAGTCCACGAGACTAACCAACAGGTAGATACTAAAATCAAATAAATGGTTTAAATAAAACTAGTATTTAAAGATTTTATCGCGTATATAAATTATTTTAGTAACTTATATCATATACATTCCCGATGTTTTGAGTTTTCGATCTTAACTTCATAACTTTATTTACATTGCTTTATTGCATTTGCATTCTGTATTAATTAGAAGCTCTAATTTTAACATTTACGAGTATAATAAATAAGACGCAAAATAAATACTCGTTATGCCAAGACCAGCCAGCTTCAGATCCAGCTTCAGCTCGCACTTCTGGTACTAAAGATGTTTGGCCGAAGGTGGCTCAAGCCGAAGGCGAAGCTTTGGTTGGACACTAACTATTATATCATAGAATAGTCGATCATTTCATGAAACGATGGTGTTTCATGGTAATCAGTGAATGAAGATCTCAACGTATTTTGCTATGGTCCAAGCAAAATTCTCTGGTACTAAATTCACAAAAGTTAACATGTTAATGCTAGTAAAAAATAAAAAAAATATTCAAAATATATCGCTATTGCAGCCATTATTTCTAATTGACAACAAACCCATACAGCAGGTCTCAGAGGCACGAAATATAGGTGTAATATTTGATAGTATTTTGCGCTTTGAAAGTTACATTTACGTACCACGTTGAGACTCAATAAATTTTTGCTCGATGAAATGATCTATAGAATGAAGTAGATGGCACTAAAATTTTGTCTATAAATAAGGATTGTAACGTTTATTTGCTATAAAATTAAACTATTATATTTTATGCTACACTTGTGGTTGAAAATTATCATTTTATATAAATAAAATGATAGATATTTGCAGTTGTGCGCGTTTCACGCAAAAACTACTGGATGTCAATTAGAATTTCTAAGTTTTATTTCTTAGACACTAAACCCTTATCAAAAAAAAAATTGCGATATCTTCATTTAATTTAATAACTTCATTAAGTTATTAAAGTGTTAAGAAACAACGATTTTTGTACGGGGATTTTCACACAGTCAACTGTTCGTTGCGTGCTCTCGCGTTACTAACCAAAATAATTTATATATTTTAGCTAGAAACTATATCATCTATTTCATGAAATGATTGATTCTACAATTTAGCTACGACATATACACAAAGCACAAATTTTGCCAAAGCTCTTTGATTTTCGATTTAACCATATATGAACTTCCCTAATGGAATATTTATGAATGCTATACGTTTTACGATGGTATTCCTGTATGTATGTAAAAGTTTTCTCATCTTGTGTGCTTATGTCTGGAGTGGCATCCTTATTGATCAGAGTTTGAGGCCGTATCAACAGTATTCTGAAGACAATTGCTGATAAAATGACCTATCATTAAACTTTGGATAAAGCTGCTTATTAAATAACCTATTTAGAGTGGGTAAAGCTACGTGGAATAATATTTTATTGTTTTGTTCTTTATTTTATTAATAACAAAGTTTTAAGTAAATTTAATAATATAATATGGCATATTTTCTCTATTAATTGAATAAATGATAATAATGCGTGCGTTATCATTACACGCCGAATTATTTGCTTTACTACATGCTTGAAAAGAGAGATTTAGTTTCCACATTAAGCACACTCCACATTATGTCCAAGGTGGCGGCACCTGCGGCAAACAACTTGAGCGACTGCTGTTTCTTCACAAACCACCAATATTTAATAAAATCGGCAAACATCTTGTGCATATACCTGAGATTATAAATAACTAAAAACAATAAAATTATTTCCGCATAATAGATTCAGAAGTCGGTGCTAAGCCATAGCGTGTAGAAATGTTAAGCCTCGACTTTTATTTATAAAATTTTTATCATTGAAAATATAAATGTACAAAGAATGCGTGGTAGAGCCACACTGCAGCTATATTACTGGTGTAGTTGTAGCACAAATGGGTGGGCTCGAACGGGGAAGGACCACGCTCTCACAGAATACCAGAGTAAAATAGCAGCGGAACGCTGCTGTGTTGCGTATGGTGAGTGTAGAGAACCGGAGACCCTATTTACTGGAAACTTAGTCTTCACTTACATAGTCCTCGCGGGTGACAACGCATCTGCATTTTGATTCGTAATCGAGGATAAATGTCTATGAGCCAAAGTAACCATTTACCATCAGGTGGACTGTGTGCTCTTTTGTCACCCTTATCCTATAAAAAAAATGAAACGCCCTGCTTTTACGTTCATTTATATTTTACATTGAAACAGCGCAAGATCATGGTTTTCTTATTGTTTATGCAATTGTTATAATAATTATTCAAATAAGAATTACGTCGCAATAAATTATTAAATTAAAGTATAAGTGCAGGGGTGTGTCTGAAGTATAGAGTGTCACTGACTACATGGTCCCTTTACTCAGTAAGAGATGCAGGAATTAGATGGATGCAGGTGGCTTTAGACCGCTCTTTATAGTACTCTTTGGGGGAGAGGACTTGTGATGGGCTGTTATGATGATAATTTTAAGTAAGTGAAGATTAGAATGAAATGTATTGTAAAATAAAAATAATTATGAAGGATGTAAAAAAGAGCGATATAATTACAAAAAAATCTTAGAAAAATATACACAGTTTATAAAGCTAATGACTATCAATATTTACAATTGTATTGACTATTTGGTACGATCACGATTGTTTCCTATTTATTCACCAGCAACAGCTCTTCTTTTTGTAGTGGGTAACGTGTTTAATAATATGAATAGGATAAGGCTTCCATACAGGAACGGGCACTTCAACGTGCTTTTCTACAGGTACGTGTATCTTCTTGATGACCTCGTACGGCCTTTCAACTGGTATGTGTACTTTCCTAATGACTTCAAAAGGCTCGTGTCTTACTACTTCAACTGGTACTGGCCTTTCAACTTCCACGTGCTCGGTTTTGTGGACTGGGTAAGGAACGTGCTTAACAACGTCAACGGGAACGGGGTAGGGTTGTGGCACGGGCACACGGACTTCCTGACGCACTGGAACTGGTACGGGTTGGGGTACAGCAACTTGCACATGACGAGTTACTTCTATTGGGACACGACGTACAACGTTTTGGACAACAGATTGAAGTTCATATCTAGAAGCGGTAGGTATTCCGCGATTTACTGTAACAGTTGTACCAATCACACGCGGGCCTCCAGAGACTGTGCTCCCAACATTGAACCCAGTATTGAGAATTGCTCCACCATTGTTTCCTAGGACAGGTCCTCCAATTGATACGCCGTCAATTCCACCGGAACCGAATGCTGATGCACCGCTAGAGATGGCGCCAGCGCCTAATCCTGTACCTGCAAAGCCTGCATCGCCGGGACCACTGTTTAAGGCGGGCCCAGTGGCAAAGTCACGCCCGTCTCCTATAGGCCCACTGCTGATAGCACCAGAAGAGTGATCGTCAGCTAATAAGCTTCCCTCGGCACTCACTCCTGGCCCACTTATATCCACAGCCGAGGCTGGCGGTCCATAAGATGTCGATGGGGATCCGAAGTTAGCTGAAGGTGAATCTAGTGCTGAAGATAAAAAGGAATCAGAGCTGTGATGTCCACTAAGATCCCCGGCATTAACATTATATGCTATCGCTGTAAAAAATAGCAGCTTAATCTGAAACAAACAAGAAAGTGTATTTATTGGTAACTTCAATATAATTTAAAATTATTTCTATTTATTTTGACTTACAACAAACGCCATGGCTATGAGCTAAACGCTTTGAAGCCAGCCAAGAGGAGGTTGTTGTTGTCTGTTCCGAGTTTCGGCGGTTTATGATTTGATAACGTAAAGAACCACATATTTATACAAGTTTTTCGATACAACGCCCATGCATAAATTAACTGCGAAGGATGTATCACTCGAACATCATAAGTTGCTAGTCTTTCTGTGTTAATGCTTTAGCGTATGTTCATCAATTCATCGCCTTCCAGTTTAAAAACATGGTAACTGTTCTAGTTTTCGACCGTAAACTTTGCGTGCCTGTGGTATGTATTGCTAAGGCTATTTATATGCCATTATAATTACCAATAAAGTTTTAAGGGTGTAAAATATGTCAGTTTCGAAAACATTTTTTTTAAATTGGGTAATAGTAAGTTATATGCTCCTATAAGGCGATATATGAGCGAGGCCTGTGTTCAGCAGTGGACTTTTGATAGGCTGTAACGGTAAGCGCAGGCGGAAAATTTAACTAATTTGTACAGATTATTCTGATGCAAAGACAATAATGTAAGAAAAATAATAATGTATCTATTTTAAAAGAATTTATCAAATAAAACAAAAGCAAATAACTAAGTAGTAATAATTTGACGAATTAATTAATATTAATTACTAGATGAAAGAATTCCCTTTCCGCCTAAAAGTACATCTAGGGTTGCTATCACCCTCTTATTTATTTCGGCCTCCAAATAGCAGTGCTTGCAGTGTTGCGCTCCGGTCCGAAGGGCTATAGACAGTCAGTATCATTACAGGCTATGATTATTCAATCTTTGTTCTCAGGGGTGACTGTAGCTTTCTATGTATAAAGTTGGCTGCAGGTGGTCATTGATTGTAGTAGCCAATTGATTAGGTGGACTGTAATGTACGATGTTAATGATGTTAGCCAGTTAGCTTTTACAAATACATCGGACACGACAGAAAATAGTAAATGTTAATAAGGCAGGGCATGAAGATGATGGTGATGACGACAACATCATAGAATTTAATACTTTTAAGTAAATATGCAATAAGCTATTCAAAGATTCTTAATCTTTGAATAGTTTTCAATATACTTACTTACAGTGAAGGTATTTTAATTTTGGTAGTTGTAAATATTAATGGACCCTTTTTCAGTTTATAAGTAATTATGTTTGTTTAACAGACATTATAAAAATGTATAAAATTTTAGGTTAATAAAATAAAAACATTTTATTATCAGACTTCGCATATCCTCGCAATGTTTGATAATAAAATAATAAATATAATGCATTATATTTTTTCATTTCCCTTCTTTTTCCAACGATTCCCAAATTAATGGTATATATTTATTTATTTTATTTTAAGGATTCACCACAATATTTTTCACCGCCGAGCAGCTGAGAAATATGTTAAATATGTTGCGATACCTATTAGATTTCTCGTGTACTTTGAAGAGTCGTAATCCTTTTCCTGAGCTCATATTTAATAACAATATAATCTAAACAGATTACATTGTTATTAAATATGAGCTACGTATATAAACATGTACAAAATTATTCCGTCCAAAATGAGTTTGCCCTCTCTTGCACCATCAAAGTAACCTACTTAAGTAATATACGATTAATATTAATAAATTACCATAGATGACATTTTAGCAACCAACAATAAAATTAACATATGACCCATATCAATAAGTTACAATTTTGATTTGTTCGTCTTTAGGCAACATTATTACATCATATAATTTTGTCATCAATGCCCTTCATTGAGTAATATAAATTTGGTATTTTAATTCACTTTGAAACTAGTTTGCCGTTTCTCTTTAAAGTTTCACCTGGTCTTGGGAAAATATATTATGTTGATTAGTTTTAATTTATTAAATGACCGATATTTCCGACTTCTTCCGGTTAGCTTCGTGTCATCTTTTACGTAATTTTAGAACTCGTTTTTTGTATTATGAATTGTAGGCCTCGTATACCGGTTTGTACGTGCTCCGATGTCTAATGTTATTAACCTAATCAGTCATCTTTATTTATCTTACGTCAGACGGTTTACGCCGGAAAATTGTTATGAGTGGCGAAAGTTTCGCAAACTGTTACGGTTAACTGGAGTTCTTGATTATTTTTGAGATGGTAAGTTCAGTTAAAGACGGTATATAGACGATCTCGAATTGACCACGCTCTCTTGGTATAACCGGAGACATTTCTTACTTGTAAATAAACATTACATTTAAATCCTCAAGGGTGACATCATAGCATTTTGATTTTAAATTGTTGATAGGTGGCTATGGGCTATCCATGTATGACATCCATATACATCTATAAAGATACTTCTATAAAAATAACTTAAAATTATTTCATTTTCGTCATCTTCATTATTATCACTATGTAACATAGGCTCATGGCGTAAGCACTATCCCCTGGCACCAATAAAAAAATGTTAATTGAGGTTTTAAGTGCTAATTTGCCACGTGTTCGGAGGTGAAGGAAAAATCGCAAGGAAAAAAAATTGTTTTTTAATTTTTTTGACATGCAGTCATGTGAAGTCATACGGCGGACATTTCCTTGCCCAGCATGTAGTTGATACATATGTAGGTTGTAACTATACTTTTATTTAATTTATATGATCTTTTCAGTTAATCGAAAGCCCACAACTGAACAAATGCTCCCTGCGTGTATTATCAAGGGACTAATTATTTTTCTTATTGAGGATATTTTGTAAACAAAAACACATTGCATTTTACATTTAAATAATAAATATGCATATGATTTTATAATAAGAAATAATATAACATGATTTGTCGGCTGTAAGGGAAAATAATATCTATGTCAATTTTTACTGTTTGAGAGGATATGAAATAATATATGAGTTTAAAAAAAATAAACAACAAGCGTTAATCATGAGCTGTGGTGATCCTGATAATTATTTTATTTTATCCTGGTGATCCTGATCAGGACACAAGTATAAACTTATTAAATTATTGTATTGTATTTCAAATTATCAAGTTAAACGGCCGTCTATCTCTAGATGGATACATGCGAAGCTAATAAAAGCGTGTTAAACGAGGCACTTTGACTGACCAACGAAGCTCTAATGATCTTATAGTAGAGAATTTTTTTATATGATAGGGTCACAAATGAGCACACAATCCACCTGACGGTAAGTGGTTGCTGTGACCCATAGACATCTACATCTATCCTCAATAAAGAATCAAAATGCAGATGCGTTGTCCCCGTGAGGACTAAGATGAAATGCCTCGTTTCCAGTAAAAAGGGTCTCCGGTTCTCTACACTCACCATACGCAACGCATCACAGCAGTTTTATACTGCTATTTTAGGCTGATATGCTGTGAGAGCATGGTCCTTCCCCGGTCGAGCCGATCCATTCTTGCTACAACTATACAATTAAAATAGCTGCAGCATGGCTCTACCACGTATAACTTAGGTATAACACATGTAACTATATATATAAATCCGTCCAAAACTGCCTAAATTTATATTTATACCTATGGGTAATAGACTAGGAGATGGTGACAGAAAATATTCTCCCATTTTCTCCTGCATGCCTTTTTAAGAGTTGATAACTAACCCCAAAATATGAAAGGTAGAGGGGTTACGAGCCCTTGCGCGCTTGCACGTCATAAAGAAAATGGCTTCTATTTGTGTAAAGAATTTTAGTATTTTTCCGTGACATTATATTGCATGCCTTTGTAATATAACGTAGTTGGAACAAATTTAACCTATAATAATTGATGGCATGCAATTCGCAACCGCCGACGGGGCTCAAAGGGTAACGTAGAAATGAAAAAAAAAATAGAACTAGAATAATTGTAAAACATTAGTTTTTTTTATCTCAAAAATATTCTACAAAAATTGGCATGCACCCCTCGTATGACCAAGGGTGGAAAATATTAGGAAAATATTGTGAAAATTCAATACAACTCCGTGATTTCAAACTACATGCCATTTGAACAATACTTAATTTTTATAATTCATTGACGTTAGCAAATTTGGCACAACAGTAAGTTGTAAAGTAGTGGCATGTATGACGAAAATTGCAAAAAACAATGTTATAATTTCTGTGACTTTATTTTGCATTTCAATATTTCATTAAAGAAT